AGAGGAATCTGTTCCAAGGAAAGGCCTAGAGTGGGAGGAGGAACCCTGATAAACACCCAGTAGACCCAGCATGATAATTTGCTGGCAGTGTGGGTAGCTAGGACACAAAAACAGGATTGCCTGGATATGGAATGCAAAGGGCCGAATCTTATTGCTAGTTTCATGCTCGAGTGTGGACAAAGGGATAGAGGCTGTCCATCCCAATGAGGGATGGGAGGAATCCCCTAAGGTGAAATTCACTGAAATCATCACTGTTAGGGTTCAGACTGAACTCCCAGTTGCGATTCATGACGTGACTTGTCTTGATTGATGCGGTGCACGTGACCGTGCAGCTTCTCTGCCATTCTTTTCACATAAAACCTCTATTGTGAACCGTGGGAGTTAGTGCATTACTTGAAGCCTTCGACCACCAGTTGTGAGTGGGCACCAGGATTTTGACAAGCTCCACCTTCTATGTAATTTATCCACAGAGTTAGCTTATATGGGTTGTGGTCAGTGCAGAGGTCATGGCTCTTTAGCAGGAAATGATGCCTTACCTTTCCCAGCTAAAAACGTCTCCAGAAAAATGTTAAAATCTGATATTGTCTCAAATTTGACAGCAAGCTTGGAAAAATGAAAATAGGAAACCACCACATCCTTAGGGTTTCTGGCAACATAAATAACCTGTAAGGTAAAAACAGTGACAATCTCAGACGTATTACAAGGACACAATAAACCTAAAAATTTGTAGGTTTTATACAATTTCTATTCTTGCAAAGAACCCTTAAAATCTCTGCATATGAGGAGAATTAAAATATGTGCTTGATACTATTGTTTATTCTGCTTTTAAATAAATGGTTCTTATGTGCCTTGCCAGCACTTTCTAGGAATCTGTTCCAAGGAAAGGCCTGGAATGGGAGGAGGAACCCTGATGAACACCCAGTAGACCCAGCTTGATGGTTTCCTGGCAGTGTGGGCAGGTAGGACACAAAAACAGGATTGCCTGGATATGGAATGCAAAGGGCCGAATCTTATTGCTAGTGTCATACTGGAGGGTGGACAAAGGGATAGAGGCTGTCCAACATCCCAATGAGCATGGGGAGGAAATCCCTGAGGGGGTCTAGTAGACACTGCATCAGCCTGTTCACTCATTCATAGGGGACAGGTAAAACCTCATAAGTGAAGGTGAAATGCATTGAAATTGTTAGGGTTGATATGGTGAAGTAACTGTGCAGCTTTTCTGCAATTCTTTTCACGTAAAACCTCTATTCTGTACCGTGGGTGTTAGTGCATTCAATGAAGCCTTCGAACCCCAGCTGTGACTGAGCACCAGGATTTTGACAAGCTCCACCTTCTATGTAATTTATCCACAGAGTTAGCTTATATGGGCTGTGGTCAGCAAGGAGGTCATGGCTCTTATGCAGGAAATAACACCTTACCTTTCCCAGCTAAAAACTTCTCCAGAAAAACATTAAAATCCGATATTGTCTCAAGTTTGACAATAAAGTTGGAAAAATGGAAATAGGAAACCACGACATCCTTAGGGTTTCTGGCAACATAAATAACCTGCAAGGTAAAAGGAGTGACAATCTCACACGTATTACATGGACACGATAAACCTAAAAATCTGTAGGTTTAATACTAATGCTATTCATGCAAAGAACCCTTGAAATTTCTGCGTATGAGGAGGATTAAAATACGTGCTTGATACGATTGTTTATCCTGCTTTTAAATAAATGGTTCTTACGTGCCTTGCCAGCACTATCTGCACAGTCAGGGTCAATACTGTACTTCTTTAATTCCAAATCCTCTCCTGCCCACGTGTAGCTGTCTGCAGCTGATAGTACCATTGGCCTCAGTGGGATTCATCATTTTTGTAAGCACAGCAGTAAGTTTTCTTAGAAGTGGATCTTCAATTTTTTTAAATTATTTGTGTGGGTCATTTTCAGAGCAAGAAGGTAACAAATAATTACAAATTATGGAAAATGTAATAATAAAAATCACAAATATTAACATGGACTGCAGTTACAAGTGTACTACCTTAAAAGAACTGAAACTTCTTAATAAATGGATTAGATTTTGTTTCCCTTTTTATAAACAACCACTATCAAGTGAATAACAGATGTGTATTTATGTGTATTGTGTTTGATACATTATTTCAGTGAAAAAAGTATCCTCAGACTAGAATCCCAGTAAGCATGAATTTGCCCTTTTCATAAAATTGTGAATAAAGCTATTTGTAGAGAATTGTAATGGCTATCGTGTTTAAAAAAATCAAGCTAAAATGCTTTGCTGCCCACCTTAGCTAATTTCTCCTACAGTTTGGATCTGACAATTTCTAAGCCAGAGGGCGATGCACACTAAGAAAAGAAAGTCAGTAGCCAGGAAGAGAAATCTCTCCGCCCCCTTCTAAATGTTCTTAACAGTGCAAAAATCTACATGAGCCTAGTAAAGTACACATAAGCAAGATTTTCCTATGTCTATAGTTAAAACTGTGCTTTGTGCAGCACAAGAGATGTTGTTCCACTGATTTTTACTGTAGTCTTAGGGAGTGTCTTTCTGCTCGGGAGACAGGGGCTGAGCAATAAAGAAATTCAGGAGGAAGATACCTATGCATTGAGAGGTTCACTGATGGAGCTCATGCACAGTAGGGTTCTGTTCTGTGCATCTGCTCCCCTTATTGGAGTGTTACTGCAACCGAGATAAAGAAGCTGCAAAGAGGGTATCTCACGGAGAAATGGATGCACAGTAGCCCCTTTCATGGAATACATAGATGGAAATGTAAGAGATTGGCATTGGTCCCATGAGGCAATTCTCCCACTTTCTCAACCTTATGGCAAAGTGGCACTGCACACCTTCAGTGGGAAAGAGCTCAGTGTGAATTAATGACCATGGTGTGGCCTTCCTCATGAGCTGCATCTTGCCCAGGCCAGCTCCCTCTCATTGACAAGGAGTTTCATGATATTTCAAGATGCAGGAGACATAAAACATGGATAAGAGCAGAGCTGACACTTACATAGCTGTAAACACCACCACAAGAACCCTGCAATTTACATAGAAGAAGCAGACTATAATGATCATAGCCATTGATGATGCTCGTTTGGGGTGAGCTATCATAACGCAAAAGGAGCTCCGTTTCTTGGCCCAGACACCAAGCACAGCCCACGTACACTGGGCACAGACATCCTGAAGTCTAGATAGAACTTCGTTTCCCCCTTTTCCTTTGGCAGGCTCTCAGGACATGGAATGGGGCTTTGGAGGAATGTGAACCCCATACATATCCAGGGGAGATATCCTTCTGCTAAGGTTGTTGTGGGGAGTGCAGACAGACTGGCTCTGAGAATACAGGCTGATTTACTATGTAAAGCCAGAAGTTTTCCTGCATAATGTTAATTAAATCATGAAAACAGTATCACCTACTTTTCCTGTCCTTTTCCTGAGATCGCTTGGAACTAAATTGTGAAGCAGGTGAGTAGCAAAGAGCCGAGGTGATGGACGATTGACATAATCAACATTACGTAAGTTATACTCCAGCCATGGAACTCTGTCCATTAGATCTATATTTTCTGTTCCATCCCGATGGCCTTCATGATAAATCAGGCTCAAAATATTCTGACTCCACACAGTTCCTGGGAAAGGAAATAGCCTAATTTAAAAGAGTTTTCATGCTAATTTTGTTTTAATGTCATGTAATAATCTACCATGATCACGATCTCATCCAAACGTTGTCTCAATCTACATTATTCATGAAATACATAGTTTGTATGAAAGGAACATTAGTGCAGCAGGGATGGAAATCCAAATAGCCTGATAGCTCTTGTTTAACACTAAATCCTACACAAGTTATCAATCTATCGATCTATCTACCTGATAGTCAATAACTAAAACTTGAAATGTCTTTTACTTAGGGTATTCAGGTTCCCCATTGAAAAAACAATTATTAGAGATTTTTTTCTCCCTTTTATGTTGCCTAAATGATATATTAGATTGACTCAAGCTGCAACAGACTGGTAACTGAAGACCGTCTGTATGACCTCTCTCGCTCTCTCTCTCTCTGTGTGTATGAATGAAGGCGTATACTAATTTTTAAAGTTGTATTTTGAATAAACATGCTGTATTGCCTTTTCTCCTTAAAATATCCTGTGTGCTTCTTATAAGCATAACAGCATAACTAGTTATTGCATAATAAACAGTGGATTTACTAACACTATCTGATAGCACCCTGTGTGCTGGTGTTCCGTGTTACAATGTTCTGTATACAATGAGGTGCCAAATCATTCTTTCTGACCTTCTCTCAGAAGATTGCTTCTGCTTCATTATAACTCTAAAGCTGTAAATAGATCTCAATCTGCAAAGGCTGGAATTGGTATTATTCATGTTTTAAGAAAATATATCACTGTCATATCGGAGACCAAAAATTGAATAATCTGAGTTCACGTAGTTGGTAGTTCATCTTGAATACTGTATGACAAGATAGGGATTAAATGTGAATGGTTGAGAGATTGCGTTTAATTAATTTCAAGTCAAGATGGCTGTCTCAGTGAAATCGGGGGCTTTGTGTTCATGGGCAAATACATTAGTATAAGCAGTCACACCATGTTCCCTTTCCATCAGCTTCTTGTTCCCAAAATATTGCTGACAAATGCTTAAACAAACATGAATAAAAATAGTTGTCTATTACAAAAACAAATAGACATTCTTCACTATAATTCAACGTTGTACATAGCTTTTGGCAATATTAGCCAAGTTCTAATACACTTTGCAGATTTTCTCCGAAGTGTTAAACTTCTGCCACAGCTTAAACATGGGGATGAACTGAGATAACATCATTAATAAATTGGTGGCAGTTAAAAGATTTTAAACTACTATCACCAAACTTAGGTCATAATGGTGATTAGTAAGGAGCAGGGTCCAATAAAGGAGTCAGACAAAAGTCAGAAATGAGTTTCCTATAGAGAAACAAGCAATCAGGCTCACCTGATTTTGGAAAAGTAGCCACAAATACATCACTGTCTCTGATTTCAAAATCCTCCAGTGAATCTATGTATTCAGCTGTGGTAATGTCTTGTACAAAATAAGCTCCTTTATGTTTGAACATATATTTATTTGATGGCTCTATTGTTAGTTCAGTTTCACTCATGTTAAGAATCTGCAGATTAGAAAACATAATTTTATAACATTTTTACTTTGGTATTCTGTCTTTCAGGACAAAAATTGTTATCCCATATACAAAACCAGATCCCATTACCAATTTGAACGATAGTATTTAAATGCCATTTTTAGAGCCTGGCATGAGAATTAAATATCTCTTGCAAGTAAAAGTGCTGTGTAATGAGGTTTACACAGCTTTTCGGAAAGGGGGGGGGTTCGCCGAAAAAGCCACATCCAAACTACTTTCACTTTCGAAAGCTCTGCATATCCTCTTTCGCAGGGATCGCTGAACTACGGCGAGCCCCGCTCTCCAGCCGCACTGTACGGCAATCTGCTCATGCACAGATCTCCCAAATCCGGCTCTTTCAGGTTACAATCTACTCGCCACGGAAGAGTAGATTGTATTATTAGTCAAGCCCTGCTCTTTCGACACTTTAGTGTAGCCTAGATGAGCCCTGAATAGACACTATCTCGCATTTAAATCTGATTACTATGGATGGAGCATCCAGCAGGGCAGCTGTGCTTTTATGTCTTTCCACTTCTTTTGAAAGAACTCCCTCTTCCCAACCGCACAAGCCTTTTTTCAAAAGAGCTTGGAAAAAGGTTTCTTCCTCATAGAAAGAGGTTTACCATTCTCAGAAAAAGCCCTCCATTCTGTAGATTTTTTTTTCAAAAGAATGCGATTTCGGTGTGTACATTAAGTGAAGTTTTTTTGGAAAACAGCTGTAGTGGAGACATAGCCTCATTCTCTCTCAATCTCTCTCACTTAATTCCCTGTTTAATATGTTTCTCACTCTTTTCTAGTAATAGAAGCTCAACAAAATAGGAGGAAGTCAGAGGAAGTTTATTTTCACTTCAGAGATTTCTTTGATCATTTTATTTTGACCATGTGATGGTGTGGTTGTTCTCCCCTTGTCCATAAGGAGTTAAGACATCCTTGGTTGAAGTCTGCGATGGGCCCCAAAATAAGTGAGGGCCTGGCTAGGAAGGCCCTATAAGAAGGGCTCCGGGAAAGGAGGAACATGTTCTTGCTCAAGCTGTGGAGCAGGAAGTATCTGGCTGCCTAATAGTCTGGGGAAGGTACATGAGACAGAGCAATGCTGAGGAAGGACAGGAAGAGCTGTGAAGCTGTGGCCAAACAACCTTGCAGGGTGAAGCCTTGCTGTCAAGACCTGGTGGCTACTAGGGC